CATAAATTGAATGCGGTCACTAAATTTCTCCATTCACTATTCTTATCTATGCTATTGTTACATTATTATTATTAGTAGTGGTAGTAGAAATGAACAAACGAAAACAAAACATGTTAACTAAGTCTTTAGGCGGAGGTGAACTGAAAGTGGTAGACGTCTTTGTAAAGTCCCATGGGACAAAGCATTCAATAAAGAGAGAGATCAGATTTCATGACAGAGTGAAAGAAAGCAGAGAAACAAAACACTTATCTATCCCAATCTGTATAAATGACAGTATTACCAAATTTCACATTATGACAGAAAAGATGGAGAAGGCGATTTTCTGCATGCCTTTTTCTCATACTAACACACATGCACACACTAAATGGATAAGCTTATAAAATTGGTCAATAGTAAAATGAGGAATTTTAACCCTAGGTCAGTAATTTCAGTTTGAAGGTCATTTTGTTTCTAAACCTGTCTGTGTATGAATGAATAATTGGGAAAACATTTTGTCACAGCTACCTGATTTGATTATGAATAACCAAACGAATAGATGCTCATTTTACAGAAGGCTTGCAAACTTCTATATATGATTCATACAAACTATACAGTAGATGATGAGGAATAGCAATCAAGCAGACAAAATATGAAAACAAATTAGACAGAGGCTATGATGACGCATTGATCATGACTGGATATGTATATGATATCGCATACAACATGGGAATTTATCATCCCTGGTTTGAGTAATTACATAGCTGATAGTAATATTTCTGGTCATGTCCCCAAGATATTTCCACAAACAAAATAACAACAAATGATGGCAGTTAACCAGAACAAATGAAAATAATTCGATAATCAGTGAAACTGTATTTACGGAAGTCAGTTAAATTCAACCAAATGATTAATTTTAACCGTGTAAAAGCTTCATAGTCTCAACTCAGTTAAACACTTTCCATCATCAAATTTTTACATGGTCATTATGAATTTCTATCCAATCATCTTTTTAGCATAAATGATAAGAATTTACTGGAAGTCACCTAACCATTTCAGTAGCATCTGCTATCTAAGGGGTATGGCAATGTAGTAGTTACGTCTCTATTTCCCTAGGATAAAAGACAAACAAAACACGAAACTTCTGTAACTGAAATGAGTATCGCTGTAAAGTCTACAGTTTAATACATAGTTCGATTGTAACAATAGTTATGAAGCTTCAAAAATATCAAAGAGACAGGCCAGTTTTTAACTAGTTTGACTACAAACATTGACTCAATTCAATTGCTTCTACACTCTGTAAGACATATATGTTTACAGCCCAATGGTACAATACAATAGCTGTTATGCATAACTTATAAAATTAGGATGATCTGGCATTTATTTTACTTAATCTATCACTTTATTCATAAAAAGTGATCTCAATTCCTAGATTATCAAATGAAACAATTCAATATTCATCAGATCATCATTCTCATCTTATAATAAAATGCAAGAGACAAACCTACCGTAGAAATTATCTCTCAGTTTTAAAGTCTTAATTCTTCGTTTAACGACCTAGTAAAACTATGCATTGTGAATATGAAGCAAAGCGATGAAACACATCAACAGGTGTTACAGAGAAGATAATTACTTTTCAAACAATCCTAGCAACAACAATAACAATAACACATGGAGATATCTTAGTACTCGGAATCATATCACAGCATATCCTAGAATGAAATCAGCATTCTCAGAACGCGTAGACAAATAAAATAAATTAACGGAAATTCCTGTTGTCTGATAGATCATTCAACAACGATAGTATAAAATGATATTGTACGCAAAGTGTTATTATTTTGGATTGATTTGTTACTGACAAAGACAAGAAACAATTATTGAGAAGAAATGAAAATACCGGATGTTTTTTTCGACAAAAGCTTCTAATAAAATTAAAAAAAACATGTAATTATACGTCTTTGTTATAAATAAGCGAAAAAATTCATTCTAAAAAGAAAAATTAGTTACTGGTTCTATATCAATCTGTAGTCAGCTGATGGAAATAAAAATAGAATTTGTAATCTATGTGCAGCCTAGATATAGAAACAAATTCTATAGGTAGGCGAATTAACTTAGTGGTAGAAGAGATGATAAGGTATCAACGAATTTCAGTTCCAGAAGAAATATAAAGACTGTCATTAGTGGTAGCGAAATTATTGCAGCTTTCCATTGAAGTTGAATCTACTAGTTGATTGGAGGCAATCGGCAGGAAGCCCTGGACCTAGGTTTCGTGCTTATTAGCACTCATCATCAAGGCGTATCGGCAACCTCGACGGAATTCATGCCCCACCTGAGATTCAAACCCACATCACTCAGTGTTGTAATCAGCGACCTAACCACCGAGCTATTCGGGACGCGATTCGCCATTAGCCTCCTGTAAGACTGGATTACATGTATTGATTGGTCATGGGAGTGCAACCAATTTCATGTTGTCTAGTCATGAGTGCAGACCGAATCCTATCGACCATACTTGCAATATGGCCACCAAGCTAGGAAGTTCAGCATCGTGGTGAATATTGGTGGATGTTAGTTGATTCGAGGCAATCGTCAACAAGCACGAAACCTAGGTCCAGGGCTTCCTGACGATTGCCTCCAAAGCTAACTAACATCCACCAATGTGCACCGCGATGCTGAGCCTCCAGCTTCTTGGTGACTACATTGCATATATTGGTGGTTCTCTTGTGACCAATCAATGGAAGTTGAACTTCAGAAATCAAAGGCTGTTATTCAGGATTATGATTCTGGGGAATAATAATTAGCTGGAGAATAAGTTAGTGCCATGGGTGGATATTCGCCTTAAAATCATTTGAAACTTACGAATGACCAAAACTTGATCAGCTTTCGTCTGAAAGTGTATTTATTAAACAGTCTTCATTGTGCCTAGTATACGACTGAGGAACATGTAACATTGTGGCAAATATTTTATTACCATTACCTAGACCAGATAGTCAAAGCTTTTCTCATCACCATCTGATTGCTGATATGAGGAAGATCCTGAAGTTACTCCTAACAATATGACTCCACAGTTTCTTATTTCTCATTAGAATTTCAGGTTTTCGAATTAAGTCGATGTAATTAATGCATTGGATTATTATTCAAGTATATTTGAGTAAAAGAATTTTATAAATGGCTAAATAAAACATCGGTTTATCGAAAAAAAATTCCATTTTCGGCAAACAGACTAGAAAGAGTAAGTTTTTCTTGAAATGTAACTCTACATAATAATGTATGTCTTAAGAAGTTCATCAAATAGCCCACACAAGAGGAGGATAAAATTGATAGCAAAGAGGTAGTGTCGTTGCTGAAAATAAAATCAGTGATTTTATTTGCTTTACACATAAAAAACATGATATTATGGGAAAGATAAGGCAAAAACCAATGCCAATAAACAAACCTTCCCTCTGTATTCCATTTTTACGTAACACTGAAATATACTTACTTAATATAATGTTTTCATCAAGGTCAAGACATTAGAAAACCAAAAAAGATGTACCTATCTCTATTCAATTTGTTTAAAATCTACCGAATACTATATAAGTTCACAGATGCAATTATCAGATAAATAAATCTGAACATAGAGGGATATTCCCACTACCTTCTAAATATTCGGTAAATAAGATTTCCTTTCAGTTAGTCAGTCAGTCAATCAGATAACACAGGATCTGGTGTGCTTGCTGGCTAGTCCACTATGTTATACTTCCCTCAGTACATGAAGGTGTAATCAACAAAAGAGACAAGAAATACAAATAAAAACACTATCAGGGTTATAATGGAAAAAAGAAGTATGGAGAGAAGAAATAAAGAAAAATGATAATAGGATTTCTATATCTTATGCCAAGAAACAAGTCTTCAAACATCTCTTTCGTTTGTTTTGTAGACGTTAACAAGGATTATTAAACGACTCAAATCTACAGTTCAACACCTCATGAATTGGTTACGAGTTAGATACAATGTATTAGAGACTAAGTAGTCTAATTTGGTACTGGCAAACATATTCTTAGACTCTTTTTTTCTATCACATCTTCCTAATTTATTGAGTTAGAGTTACCATTCTAATTCAACCTTATTTTATTTGATAAAATTAAATGTTTGGCTTAACATAACCAGACGACAAATCATCATTGGCTAGATATCTTGCTAATAATAATAATAATAATAATAATACTCACTTTATTCCGAAAAACATGTACGATACAGTATGGAATATTTTAAGAAATCCGCTTTCCGTACAATACTTTTAAAAGAATAAATTACTACGTCTGCATAAGTGTTAATAATAACAGTATAGAAAGCATAAATGTGAAACGAGCAGCTAGTGTTACTCTTAAGCAACTATTCTCGATTCGTAAATTAACATAAAATCGAGTGTCATTTTAGTGATGGTAATTTAGTTTAACCAGCATAGAAATTCATATTCCCATACAGGTTACCCTAGGAATAGTAATGTGGTGTATTTTTGAACATATATAAATCCATTTCCAACCGATGGAACGTTTTTTTTCCCTTTGTTTTGTATTTAGCCTGAGAAATGAAAATTCGAAAATATTTTAAAAAACATGCAAGAGTATGTGACGCGTTCAGTTGAACATTTTAAAAGATTAAAAGGAATGGAAAGAGAAGAAATTTGATAGAATAATAATCGGTAGACAATTTTTTGGTAGCCGAAGATTTAAGTAGGTTGCCTTTTAAGTATCCTCATTAGTTTTTTTCGCACTTCACGCCACCGAATTGTAACGCTACTCATCTTTTTTTATTATTTCTGATACATAAATCATGTTTCTACTCTAAATGTTTGTGAATTTACAGACACTGATCAACAAGAACTGGTGTAATTTACATGATCTCGTTCAGATCTCTAAAACAGCTTTCAAGTTGCATACTAATGACAAATTCCAGACCAGAATTAAAAAAAGAAATTCAGAGTAACACCTTTCTTTTATATAATCGATAATGAACGTAAAAAAAAGAAAATACAACTAACGTACCTGATTTAATCCACCACCTTCAGAGAATAAAACTTTAATGAGTTTAAGTGTCCCAAAATCGATTTGAAGCCATTCATCTAGTTCTCGATGAATCAACTTAGCTGGACACCAAGCACCAGAAATCTCTTCTTTTGAAGCAAACACTACAAAACTAAAATAAAATCAAGTTGATTAACTGACAACCTCCGCTAATAAATGAAAGAATATATATATATATATATATATATATATATATATATATATATATATATATATATATATATATAATTAGTTCTTCAAAGGTAAACGAACCAGAAATTATATTGGCATATTTACACTGAAAAAAAACCCCACATATTACATTAGTAGAAATGATTATAGGTCATTTGTTGATTACAAAATGTGAGTTGATTATTAACAAGTTGCTTATTTGTCCATTATTGTTATTCGCCTATTGTCAGTGATGCATTCAACCTCTTAGTTGTAAGTATGAAGCTAGAAAAGAAAGACGCATTGACTAATTTATATCAAGTTCAAGATAATGAAACACTACTCTCTCTTGACTCTCTTTAAGACTTTGTATTTAAAAATATGATTGAACAGTAGCTTAGTTGTATAGATAGATGCTTAGATGCAATGGGTATGATCATGCAATATTACGGGGAAAGGAGATTTTTTTCTTCAGACATTGAAGATACATTTCGATCAAAAGACACGTGAATCGCACTTAGTTTGATACCCTTTTAATGGTAAAGAAATTGATATCAGACTGATTCACTTATTGTCTTTGTAAGTTGTAGAATGGTGAGATGTTAGTCGGTAGACCTAATTTCAAATGTCTTCAGAGTCAATTTAAGTAACCATTTAAAATATAGTGCAGTATTTACATCATATTTCAATTAAAATGGATTTTGAGGGAGTTGTGGAGGATTTGGAAATATTTCAAGTTGTTATTCATCGTAGACTGACATCAGTTGGAGGAACAAAGGAAACCTGGGAGCACTGGACAACTGTTTCATCCTAGTATGGGACTCCTCAGTAGTGTGTACCCACGACCCCGCCAAGGATCGAACCCGCAACCTTCAGGTCCCAGCGCGTTACCATTAAGCCACTGGGTCAGAATCCAATGGTCCATATTTCCAACTTCTGTTACCTCACGGTATAACACAAATGTCTTGTTAATTCTGAATCAAAATATAATCCGTAATATTTCTACGTGAATAACCAAATCAAACTCAGAAACACAATGACACAGGTGTGAAGCGACATATACTAGTGAAACGTAACATTTTACTATAACATTAATTTGTCTGTAAAGTTTAAGAAACTATCAGACCAGAATATACATATCAGGTGTATAGATCAAACATACATGAAAAGATTGCCATGGGAAACGCCTAATGATGTCTTATAAATCGACAAAATAATCATGTAAACTCATATTGTCAATCTTTATATTTCTCACACTGTAAAAATTTAGTATAAATATACTTAGATTAAATGAGATGTTGATGATATTACTACTACATTGATTTATTCCTCAGATAAACAATGATTGTATATCCGGAAGAATAATTTCTTCTCTTATTAGACATGTGAAGGCGAGAAATACGATGAAAAAGGGATAGAAGAAACTTAATAACTGTAATATCATCAAAAAACAAAAAAAAGTCCTTGGAAGATAACCATCAGAAGGATGTATGATAGACAAACAATTCAAAATGAATGAAATTGGGCCTCCAAATGCATAACAGAATCACTGACGCTTCATCAATATACCACACCTATTGTATATGAAGGGTGAACCTGTGGCTTGTGAAAAGTAAATTGCAGATTCATAGGTAAACAATAAAATGAACATAGAAACAATAAATTGAGCTAAATAGGGTGAAAGAGGAATAAAATAGAAAATATTTAGAGAAAAACTAAGGGTCATCATTATGGGTGAAAAACACAGAAGACTATGAAAAGTAATCTATTTGAAGCCTCTATAATAGGACATGCCATATCTTAGTCAAGAGAAAACATATTGCCTAATATTAGTAAACTCCATAAAAAAAATACGAAAAGAAGACTAATATCATCTGGTGTCGTGTGTAAATAAACCTCTATACTATAATACTTAAAAAAATGAATTTCTTAAGGAAGAGAGCGATAAGGGAGTGAACTGAGGATTTGATTTCAGACTATGAATTTAGCCGTATCGGTAATCTTTTTCTCAGAATCAACGATCAATGTTAACTCAGGAACTCACATGAAAGAAAACTATCAATTTTGGCAATAAATTAGATCCTTTGCGTTACGGTCAAACTAAAACTAATGGAGATCTCTATTTTCCACGTTTACTTGAGACTGATATCAAGCAAGCAGAATGTTAAGCCACATCACACTGGAGAGACTAAAACATGCTCTGGATTCAAAATCACGACTACAACAAGCTGGATACTTTCAGGAAAAGGGAATAATGTGCGGATCAAATTGCAACACTACGCCACACATCATCATAGAACACAGTATAGAATGACAGTCTACTTCAACTTTATCGATTTTGAAAAGGCCTTCGACAGCGTCGACCGAAAGTAATTTCGCAGATAGCTGCTTCAATACTACGGAGTGCCACAAACCTTTATCAACCTCATTCAACAGTTATATGAAGACGCCACATGCCAAGTGATCCACAATTGAAACCCCAGTGATGCCTCTGGAGTGAAGATAGGGGATAGGAGGAAGACAAGGTTGCCGCCTAACATCACCAATCATATTCTTGATTGTGGTCGACTCAACTAAAATAGATCATACAACAAACTGTGAGCAACTGTGAGAACAGTAGCATACACTGGATGCACCGATGAAAACAACCCAACACAAGATTTCCATTTCACCGACGATCAGGATTTATGTCTAATGTCTTGTCACACAAACTCGAAGATCTACACACGAAAACTAACAAGTTGACAGAAGAGGTGAGGCAAGGCAAGGCAAGGCGAGGTGAGGCGAAGCGAGACAGCGAAAACGGGATTTCTTTCAGGTCAACGTAGAGAAGACACAGGTGATGAAGATACCCAATCAACAACAACAAGCACCAATCACCATCAATAGGAGAAATCTAAAGGGAGTAGTCTCTTTCAACTATCCAGCCAGCCAACGCAGCATATTTTCAACTACAGGCGACACAGGCACACGAGGATGTCAAAGCAGCCAGCATCGAATAGACAGCAAGACAGACATTCCTGCATTAATCTGAAACAATCAATGTGGAGATCTACTGCACTCCACTCCACTCCACTTAGCACAAAGCGTCAACATCATCCGGATTGTCAACACCAATCTCAGTCAAATCAGTGCTTCTATGTGATGGTTTACAAACTTGGCGCGTCACGAAAACCACTTCAAACATACTACAGACATTCATCACATCAACAGCTGCCACCTACGCTCACTCGATATTGAAGATGAAGATCAGATGGCCAGGATGGTAATAATGAGCAACAAGGAACTCTGGCTGGCTGGCTGACAACGAACCAACCAGAACCCACCGCTCAACAAATATGCAGAAGGAAGTGGAGGTGGGTGGACCGGATTGGATTGGGCACACACTGAGAAGGCCAACTGGGGACATCAAGCCCCAGGCCAGGCCACGCCAGGCTCTCAAGTGGAATCCAAAAGGGAAACAACGAGTTGGGCATCCGATGCGAGGGCGACATGGAGGAGATCATGTGAGGAAGAAATGAAACCTTGTGATTAGTCGTGGAGCCAGGTTGGAAAGACTGCAGAGAAGAGAGTGGAATGGAGACGTGCTATTGAAGCCGTATGTCCCACTAAGAACGCAAAGGACAAATAATAAAATAACAATACACATTAGTCTTAAAGATGCAAAATAATCGCTTGAAAATAAAGTAAGCTGGTTTTATTCTGTTCACCAAAGTACTTGATCCTGAGAAGTATATTTCACAAACTAGATAGATATCACCAATTATTATTTGAGGTTTCCTTTTATAGAACAGAGGCAGTTAAACAACACGATGCAATACTGTTGTCGAAAGGATACAGGTAGTGGTTCAGTGCATTCAAGTGCCTGAGCAAAAGTGAAGAACGCTACAGAACGATCTCAAATGTTATAGTGTTTTACGTCATGACATGATAAATACCTGCAGCTTACAGATATGATATTTGAAGTCTGTCATTTCATAGAAATCAGGAGAATTGAATCTTAAAAGACACAGATCCTTATGGAATTACCACATCATAAAGAATTTCAACTTATAAGTAGTAAGTAAGCTCAGTAATGAATTATTTAAGATAATTCTTTTCAAAGTACTGTTGATAAACAGTCAATTATAGAACTGAAACCATTCTCATGAACATTTCCGATTTCTATATGCTGAATGAAGACTGTTTCACTCTTCCTTGTTCAATACTAATGAATAAATAACGACAGTTCCGTACAGCTTGATGTGGAGCCAGAAAAGTAGTAATCAACGATGAGGATAATAAGTAGGCAAATGTAGGACAAAACTGAACTAGCTTACAATCAGTGACCCTATACGGTTGTGAACTGTTGTTTCAATTTATTGAGGATAACAAAAGATAGCAATGTCATCCTTACAGTTCAAAAAATGGAAACATAATTGTCATTGAATAAATACACTTTCCATATCTTATACTATTATAGTGACAACCTGAAACTAATTAATCTTTGACGAAAATTTATGCGCATAACTGACTTCATCATAAAAATAACCAAATGTAACTAAAAATAACAAAACAAAATTAGTACTATTTCCCATTTCCTCTGAAAGCATAAGAAGTAATACTTCACAGAAAATATGACGTGACAACAAGGGGAGAAATAAACATGCACCTACGCATAGACACACACTTGTACAGAAAAAAAACAGAAATATGCCTAACCTTATAAGATAAATTGGCGCCTATTTTATTTCGGAGTCAGAAACGACAAACGTAAACACTCTCATTTATCATCATCAGTATCTTCATAACTGTAACTAAAAATGGTTTAGCATTGAACGCCATCGGAATGTGAACTAAATAAATAAACAATTATCCTTGTCATGACTAGAGATTAAAGAAGTGAACATTGAGTAGGAATATGTCTTGATGAGAAATAATAAAGATTATATACAGAGAAAGAGAAAAAATGAATACAGTATA